TGGAGCAATGGTGATAGAATGCGCTGGGTTCCTTTCTTGCAGAGGTGGGGAGTCACGGTTTTATTGCCTGATGGGCGGTTGCTGCAAGTTTCCAGTGTCACATTGGACTCGATTTGGCGGTCTATTGGTTTATGAAGGGGTTCAGAGTGCTTTTGCAACTTGTCTAAGCTACTCGAAGGATCAGGCATTTGACTGGGGCGGGAGGCTTTCTCTGCATGAGACGACCCGGTTGTCTGGGTTGAGTTCTTCCTCTGTCCGGCTGCATGAGAAGATAAATTTTCATTGTCCGTCAGATAATTACCGCCTACACTGCGTCCTGTAGGTGGGGAGGGGTCTCTATTGAGATCCACATGGATGGGGATGATACGTTGCATAGCGCTGCTTTCGCGGCGTCGTTTGGTTTGTCTCGCTGGACCAGGTAACGCGTCTGGGGTGTTCGAGTCCTTGTTCGGGAGAGACACGAATGCCCCTTTACCTGAGTTATCTTGGGCAGTTGTCGAAGACTGGAGAAAAGGGCTCTGTGTTGTTTGGAGACTTTGTGATCGATCTGGCGTAGACTCCGAGCGATCTCGCAGCTTCATCCGTTTAGCGGCTTCAGACTCGTGATCTCCTGGATCCTCATCAAGGACGGACCGAGCAGTTTCTGCTAGTAGCTGCAACTCTCTGTATGACGCAGCATCCTCAAATGACCGATCAGAAAGGACCTTCAAGATCCTAGGGAAACGAAGTGTATAGTATCTGGCGCCAGACGGCTTTTCAAAGCCACTGCCTAACATCTCAACAACAAAGGGTGTTTTGAAGACGACTTCCATGGGTTTGACTACACTCTCCCCATATTCAAGGATGAATCCATGTTCGGAGTCTGGACTGCGGGCGCAGAACTCGCCGAACTGATTCAAGAGCTGCATGAACCTGACATGCATGCAGTGGTGGTTAACAACATCGAGGACACGAAATTTGGGTATGGCCCCAGATTGCACAACCATCTCTCTATTGACGAGGCACCCAATGAAGAATTCAGTCCATAAGAGCTTTTTGACTTGTTTGATTGCCATAGCATCCCGAGAGTTGTACCTCGCGCCGATAATTGCGAGATCGACGGTGTCACCTAGTCCAGGTATATAATCTTTCTTCAGCTTGATCCAGCGACCGAAGGAGGGATTGTCCTTGTCATCAGAAAAGATTGTAAAGTAAGGGTCTTCACTTGCTTTGAGGACAAACCCTTCCCATCGCTCAGTGATGCCTTTGTTGAAGATACTTTCTAGTCGGGATTGACCGCCATGATGGGAAAAGTCAACAACCCACTGCTCAGATATATCCGCACGTCCTGGGATTGGCTCTATAGTGTCTTTCAGAAGCAATCTCCGCTCACGGTGTGGAAGCCTCAGACAAACATTGTCATCCATAAGCAGGATGTCAAAAAATACTATCATCAGATGCTCGTAAGGTTGTGGACTGTTGTATTCAGGTCAGAAGACAACGCTGGAAATTACATGCCATGCCACTTACGGAGAGTCGCTTTTAGTTCCAATGAAAGTGCCTGAGCGTGATATGAATTTACGCAACTTGTGAAAATCTGCGATGTTGCCATGTTTGTCACTCCAAACAAGCAATTCGCCCTCCAGAATACATCGTTGGGAAATCTTGCAACCCGGCCGTCTTAGCTTCAGTGATTCGCTGATGACTTGATGAATACCGGCGCGGTCTGCTGTAGAATCTTTACCGCTTTTAGAAAATATTTGGATCCAGTTCGAGTCCTTTGAAAGATCGATGTGTATCTGGCAATATTCTCCATCATACTTCCTTTCGATACTCATGCGACGGTTGCCGATCATGCGACAGCAATGTTTGATGCTCCTAGCCTTATAGTACTCGGGTCGTCCTATCTTGACTCCCACAGCAGGACTGAAATGCCCTAACGCTATGAATCCCAGGTCTTTGGCTAATGCAGCATCTGGTTGAGGTGGAAAGTGTTTAATGGGACTAGAGCTTAGCACGCTTAAAGCGCGTTCGAAAGAGTCTTGAAAGAGAAGTAAATTTGGAAGGAGGAAATGGAACCGTTTCAATATGATGTTTACCGGCAGAGAAACAGGAGAATAGCTTTTCAGTATCATTCGAGTAAGCCATTTCGCATCTCTGCTACTTAGCCGTCGGTATAGAGGGGACAACGTCTGATCGACCTTGACAGCCGTACGCTGCCTTCGCACCTGAGGACCAGAAAACTTGCAACGAGAGGCGATCTCAGTTAAAGCTTTGTCTATCTCTTCCACGGTGACATCTTGGCCGTTGGTGACGTGGTTTTCAGCCTGCCGCATGACATACTCCACACATTGTCCCAGGTCGACGCCCCCGGATATACGCCAACGCTCGAGCTCCTGCCGCCGTGAACAGCCCAGAAGCAGGCACCGTGCTATAATTTTGACCAGCGATGTATCCTGTAGCCAGTAGACACGGTCTGTCCGTTTCTCCGGAAACATGCAGGAAAGGAGAGCCAACTGGTCGGTATCTTTATCGCGGATCCTCTTTTCATTCTGGGCGAACCATCGTGATACCGCACGAATGTCGGGGTTCACAACTTTGGCCTCATGAGCAGCTTTCACGACCCTATTAGCTTCAAGGGTTGATAGTAAGTCGCACAGGTGAGCAAATTTGAACCCCATATGATAGTAGTAGCCGCGACGGGCGCGATTCAGGTGTCAGTATCGATGGCAGGCATCAAAACAGCCGAGTAACTACCCAAACCATAACAACTAGGCGAAGCACAGCCTATTCCATGGGGCTACTGATATTCAAGAATGTACAGTACAGAGATAACAACGAAGCAAGTGAGACTGAGGGAAGACGCGGAGCAGAAAATTGGATTGGAAGCTACGCGAACGGGACGCGAAACCACGTGATCCGAGCCAAAGTTGGGATCAATTGAGATTTTTGGCTTCTAATCTCTCCGATGATGATATCGAAATATTCTTGGGGTGTAGAATACATAATAAGCAAAGCTGTATAGTCTTGACTTTGCTTTGATACAGCCATTCCCAACCAACACTATCCCAGTGACCACGCAGCATTAAGGAAATTAGAGAAAGGACACCCACCAAACTCCAGGCTTTTCAATATGAAATATGGCGAAAGGCAATGCAAAACAACATGAAGAAAGATCGACCCGGGGTCGCCGATTATAGGATACCTTGCTTTTGCAGACTGGTAATTATTAGTAAAAGTTCCAATAGGTCGCGGGATTGTTGGGGCACGTACTCAAGGTAGATCCTCTCCGGCATCACATTGCCTTCGGCATCCTCCATCTGTACCACATTGTCGCGGTTATCTCTGTCCTTCTTGCGGTCCTGCTCTAGCTTCTCCCAAAGCCTGATTGCATCCTCAATCCGAGTGATCTCACGGAAAAGGTTGGTATTGGAAGTGATACCAAGACACTTCAAACCAAAGATATGTAGGGCCTCCGAGAAGTGCTTGTCAAACGCACGACGACCCATATAAACAAAGTTACCGCAGATCTCGCAAGGATACTCCACCCCAAGGCCGTGAAGCTTGTAAAGCCAGTAAGGGATTGGCTTGCCATCCCAAGCAAGTGGCAGCTTGAGGGGGTTGTAGATTCGGTCTTCGTCGTCCTCGTCAGATTGATCGCCAGCACGATCACCGCCAGGGTTTTCGGACTCATTAAGCAGAGCTTCAAGTTCCATCTGGCGCTCCCGTTCAGTCATACCCTGTCTCCGCTCGACATTGAACCTCGTTGCTTGACGCTCGGGCTGCAGTACCTGCGTCAAAGAACGCACCCGATGTTCCCTCTCTGCGACTGCACGTTCCTTGAGTCGATGAGCCACGGATGATGCGCCGTTTGTCGCAGGGGCTGCCGGCTTCGCGTCATCCCCAGCGGCTTTGCGTGCTTCAGCGGCCCGGATATGCTTCTTTCCTGTCAGGTGGTTCTTGTAGACATTCTCATTCTTGAACTCCCTCTCGCAGTCAGCACACCAGATGCCTTCTCCGGAGCCCTCGGTCTTCGGACCCTGGGTACCGTTCTGAGTAGCCTCCTCTGTCCAACCAGGGACCTCGTTCGCCGCCCATTGCCTTTCGAACTCCTCATCAAAGCTAGCAAATAGTTTGTCCAGATCTTGCAACGGCTTCACCTTTTTAATGAAGCTTTCCAAGTAGTTTGCGAGTTCACCGACATATTTGAAATACCGATCGGAAAGCTTGTTGTTCCGCTTGATCGGAAGTTGTGGAGGAGTAAACGCATCGAAGATGTCGAGATACTGTACATATGAGAGCCGTTTTACCCCAGGCAAGTTCAGGTAGTCTTCGTGCAATGTTGTGAGGTCCAGAAATTGCCCATAACCCTCTTCACCAGTGAACAGATTGTCGATCTCCATTCCCGTTACTTCGCCCTCTCCAGGCTGGCGGCGCTTATAAGCCCGCTCAAGGTTTTCGACTGGTTCATTAGGATAGCGCCTGTGAAAGTCCTTAATCTCATCCAGTTGCTTGTAGAATTCCTCGAATTGATCGCCGGTTGAGATGGTTTGGATTTCCTTCTCACGCGCGCCGTCCGCATCCTTGTAGATGTCGAGTAACCTCTTGGACTGGTCTTCGATACGCTTCAAAAATTGTGCGACTTCATGGTCACGAGCCAGGCGATCCCGGATCTGAAAGTAAAAGAGTAAGTTAGCAGAGAGCGACGAGATAGAGACTGAAGGATTACTTACATTACGAGGCTCTTCGGCGACGCGGTCGGCAATCGCCTGCTCCAGGCGCTCAAGGTCCTCGTGGATGAACCTTTGCTCTTCGAAAATCATTTTTGCTGCGCACACAAGGCTCTACCTGTCTTCTGCAGATTAAAGCACTTCTGAAGATCGGGAATGGAAGCGGGCATCTCATCGCCATCCAAGAGAGCTTTGCGGCGAGCTATCGTCACGTGCGGCGGGCGGTGAGACCTCGGTCGCAACGAAAAGTCGCGCCGCAGAAGCTGGGCGATTCTTCTGCTACTCCACCAGGCCAGCTCCCCTCCTCCACTGACTTGATTCTGTTTTCCTTCATCCTCTTACTTCAAATTACAGACCTGGTGTATTCAAGATGGCGGACGGAATTGACAGACGCGCTGATGGTAGGACCTCAAAGTTCCCAACTGTCATTCACGCCTGTATACTAACTGCGCAAAAATAGACCGCATGGAGTTCAACACCTCGAAGGAGGTCACTGTTGCTCCTACCTTCGAGGACATGCACCTGAAGGAGAGCCTTCTCCGAGGTATTTACGCTTATGGTTATGAGTCTCCGTCGGCTGTCCAGTCCCGTGCTATTGTTCAGATCTGCAAAGGTCGCGATACCATTGCCCAGGCGCAATCCGGTACTGGTAAGACCGCTACCTTCTCGATCAGTATCCTCCAGGTCATCGATACCGTCGTCCGCGAATCTCAGGGTATGTAATATGTGCTCAATTGCAAGTGGTGGTTGTAATCTCACACATGACAGCCCTCGTCCTATCCCCCACTCGTGAACTTGCCACCCAGATTCAGTCCGTCATTATGGCCCTCGGTGATTACATGAACGTCCAATGCCACGCTTGCATCGGAGGCACGAATATTGGAGAGGATATCAGGAAGCTTGACTACGGTCAGCATGTCGTTTCGGGCACCCCGGGCAGAGTCGCCGATATGATTCGCAGACGCCATCTGCGCACCCGTCACATCAAGATGCTGGTTCTCGATGAAGCCGATGAACTCCTCAACCGTGGTTTCCGTGAACAGATTTACGACGTCTACCGCTACCTTCCTCCTGCCACCCAAGTCGTTGTTGTTTCCGCTACCCTCCCCTACGATGTGCTCGATATGACCACCAAGTTCATGACCGACCCCGTGCGTGTCCTGGTCAAGCGTGACGAATTGACCCTCGAAGGCATTAAGCAGTACTTCATTGCGGTGGAGAAGGAAGAGTGGAAGTTCGATACCCTTTGCGATCTTTACGATACCTTGACGATCACCCAGGCGGTCATCTTCTGCAACACCCGTCGCAAGGTCGACTGGCTCACCGACAAGATGCGCGAAGCCAACTTTACTGTGTCCAGCATGCACGGTGAAATGCCCCAGAAGGAGCGTGACAGCATTATGCAGGATTTCCGCCAGGGTAACTCCCGTGTGCTTATCTCCACCGATGTTTGGGCTCGTGGTATCGACGTGCAGCAGGTGTCCCTGGTCATCAACTACGATCTGCCCACCAACCGTGAAAACTACATCCACCGTATCGGTCGTAGTGGTCGTTTCGGACGTAAGGGTGTTGCCATCAACTTCGTCACCAGCGATGACGTGCGCATCCTCCGTGACATTGAACTTTACTACTCCACTCAGATTGACGAGATGCCCATGAATGGTATGTTAAACCTAATCTACATCACGAAGCTCAGATATAGCTAACCTAATTTTCTAGTTGCCGATCTTCTGTCATAAGCAATATAATTATGCCTAACATATCGACCAGTTTATCCTTAACTAAGGTCACTTACGAGTCATCACCTGGCATCAAGCTCGCGCATCCGAATAGTACCAATGCCTCGCTCCTCCCTATACAAATCGACAAGATGGACAAAATGGCCCAGAACACCGTGAAGGGGCGGAGATTCGCGTGGAGGAAATGGGAAAATTACCAAATTGGTTAGTCCACTATCACGTTTTACAGTGTACCAACCACGCATCTGACACCATTTCAGTGTTGTTCGAGTAGATGATTGTCTACGACGCCAATGTCACTCAAATCAAGCGGCGTGGATCCAGTTAGGCTTGCCACGTTCTACCCTTTTACGTTATCTATTTACTTTTGAATATTCCTTTCTGGCGTTTGAAATGTCCCGGGGTTTACATGCTATGTTTGGAGTTTACTCTTATTATTACGATCGAGTGGGAATATCAACGTTCAAGAGTCTTATGTGGTCTGTATACTAGTCTGACTGACCATTTTTACATCCCTCAAAAGTACATTTATCCATATCCATTTTATCCCATCCCGCTCTCTCTTGCAAGTATCCAGTACTAGTAGTACTTGCCCATCTATAGATTCACCACATGAGTGAATCAATCAATCAGTCGATAGTACCCAAGCTAATATTTCGATTATCAGATGCATACTCCACTACCACTCCTACCAGCCAACTTTCCAACCTCAGAAGATACAGAGAAAAGAGAGAGAGAGAGAGAGAAAGCGAAGTAGCTATAGCGAGAAGCAAACATGAACTCGATGACCTCTTGAGCACAAAAGCAGAGAGGACTCCGATACGCAACGCACAAAGAAACAAACGGGAACATGACACCAAAGCACACTCCTAAGTAGTCCCTGGAAACCTGGCATGATTCACGACCCAAAGGGTGGACAGTAACGACAATGACAAACAGACCATTAACCGTAAACGTTGAAGTCTTTATAATATGTAAGAATATGGGGTGGGATGGAATATGATATAATGGATAGGGACGCCATGCCTTCGTGCAGTGGCTTATTACGGCACTGATGGCAGGCGCGCCGGGGATGGTAATGATGAATGTGCGGAAGGAAAGGAATTGAAAGAGAAAAATGAGATTGATGCAAAGCATATATTGATCTGTACCAAAAGCAGCGGCGCCTGCAACCTGTATTAAATGGATCACTGACGATGAGCCAGCAAAAATGCGTATATGCAGGGTGGAGTGAATAAACGGGAGCGGTTGGGTTCGGAGTAGAGATGAGGGAGAAAGCGGACGGAGTGAATGCGAGAGATGTTTAAGCTGGAGCTGCTTCCAAGTATGTATAGACTATATGGGATTGCCTGCTACTCCTGAAACGGGAGCACTAATTGAAGCTTGATGTTGAACGCAGAGCGCTAGTGCGAGTGAAACCACTTGTCGATACTGCCCTGTGCTTGCCTGCTGAAACATTTGGCCGTATGTCACGTTCACGTGTCCAACTAGAGAACTGTCAGTCAAAAGACTATCTGGGTGGAGGGAGGAATTGACGGGCCGGTGCTCACATTCTAACCAAGCAGTCGTCGCCAGCAGAAGCAAACATTCCTGGGTCTCGAGGATTCCAGGACATGGAATTTACACATCCTCGTACGTGCCCCTCCAATGCCTCTACAAGTGTGCCAGCTTCTTTGTGGAAGATATAAACACGAGAATCTAGAAACACATTAACCAAAGAAGGTGAGAATGTGTGTTCGAATGATGCTCACCTTCACTTCCACTGACAATAAAGTTTTCCGCCGCACCACCAAAGACACTGCGAATGACGAAATGCCCTTGTTTCTGCCCTGAAAATCGACGCACAACGTCTGTGGTGTTGATGTCAACAAGCTGTATTTGTCCGTCGGCGGAGTTGATCAACATGTGACGGGAGTCCCTGCTAACAGCGACGGAGGTTGGCTTGCTTTTCAGGGCTAGACAGTATTCTTCATCGCGGGTCGCAAGGTTGTAGACGTGGACCTTCTGATCGAGGTCTGCCGCGATAAGTCTCCGGCCATCGGGCGTGATAGCACAGTCTTGGACGCGGAAGCCTTCCGGCCACATGTATAGGGTCTGTCCACGCATGCCCCAATGACAGAGTTGCGAGCTCACGTCCAGAGCCGCCGTTACGAAAGACTCGCCATCAGGAGCCCACGCCGCAGCTGTCACGGGATGACGGTGGTGATTGATGGTCAGAAGGCAACGACCAGTCTTTGCCAACTGTCAGCACAAACACCGTCCTCGAACACGAAAAGGGGTCACTGTACCTCAACGCTCCACACGCGGGCGGTCTTGTCCTGAGAACAGGTAATGATCTTCGAGTCATCCGGGCTCCATGCACACTGTGCAACACCATCCTCATGACCCAAGAGCTTCTGTATCACAGAGAAGGTGCTGGTTTCGTAAATGATTACCGTCTGATCTTTGCTGGCAGTGACCAGCTTCGTCCCGTCGTTGGAGAACTGGCACCACCATACCTCGTCGGAATGCTGGTTCAACTCAATCCCGGTCCGCAAAGGAAAGTCTTTGCGATCACACATGTGATCTGAATATAATGAAGGTGGTGATGCGGAATTATGGTATAAGCACTGGTTGATCTGTGTTTGTTTGACGTGATCCAGCAGAATAGCAAGACGATTGTCCGGGATCATTACAGAGGGCGATATTGACCCTGCTAGGTTGTTAGCGGTATGCGCCGTTACAGCTCCGAACGCTGGGTTTGGGGACTCACGAGACAATTCCGATAACAAACGTTCTCGAGAAGAGCTTATGGGACCGTCCCAGCCGGCCTGGTCGTGGAGATGTTCCGGGGGGCACATGAGTAGACTAGCATGAAAGTCAGTTTCACTCACGGTGGTGCCGCGAGAGCTTGTCAGCGTGGTGTGCTCACCTGGACAGGGCGTGTAACCGTCCTATGTCATAGTTCAGAGGTGTCAGTTCATGTCTCAGAACTATTAGGGCCGCCGCCAAATCGCGGGCTTCCAACAATTCGAGGAATTTTTGCTGTCGCAGGTAAAAAAGCATTTCGTTCTTTTGAGCATCTTCCACCAAAACCAGCTTCTCCCGATTCGTCGCTTGCTCGCCGGTATTACTCCTCCAACCACCTCGATCCGGATAGAATGATTGCACCAGTATATGTTCCGCCTCGGTCCATCGGCCCTCTAACACCGCATTTCTAAATGTAGCAACTGCTGGGCTCTCCAGTTGATACCCACTCTCCTTGCTTAGAAGCGTCGCGGCCCCATCATAGCCAAGGTCAAACAGGGCTTGAATCAAGATCCTGGTAACTTCTTCTCGGTCATGACCATAGTATGACGGAGGGCCGACTGACGCCTTTTGAGAGCCATTCGTGCATACGTCTCCGTTGGAGGCCGTGAAACTCGTTTGGCCGTTCAGAGAGTGGGCGAAAGCTGTCTTCTGGGACGGGGATGCATTTGAGCCATTCAACGTATGGGAGGAGCCGTTTGTACTGGAAATGCCATCCGGGCGCATATTTGCCAGGCGCCTGCGCTTGGGGTACGGTTCGGGGCCCTCTGATGGGGCGCGTGACTGAATACTGCTGGATGTTCGAGACCTGGCCTCGCTTGCCGTGCGATCCTCCGCGAAACCTCCTGTTCCCTCAAAAGTGTGTTCGGGCGTATCCGGTGTGCTGCTACGGCGCCGTCGACGAGCAGAGGATGAATGCGGGTTTCCGAGAGCGCCCACTGTACCGTAGTTGTAGTTGGCTGTCGGTCTTTGGAGGAGAAACGCGGAAGGGCCGCCCGGAGCGGAAGTGAGTGGACGGGACGCTGAAGATTGGCGGGGGATAGGAGGGTCAGGGTGGTCGGGAGCGGCGGAGGAGGGTATATAGAAGGGATGATTGTCTGCCAGTTCGAAAACGTTCAGATCTGCCCTTCCGCCTGGCTCTGTAGGAGAACCAGGAGAGCAGACCTATATCAGCGGCGGGTCACTGATACTCGCCGAGGCTCGTTTCACGGGGTGGGAGCTCGTTGAGCAACTGGGTGGTCAATCAATGTGCTGGGCTTGGGTGAAATAGATATCGGTGGAGGTTCTGAGGTATCAGGTTCTGGTCAGCTCCTGCACTGTAAGATGGATGGACTGGGTGGGTAGTTCGTGCAGTCGTCGGGCGGAGGTCTTATCGGACTAGGATCAGATCCGGGGAAAGACGACCGATTGTCGGGAATAAAGGACAAGGAGTAGGAGAGGCGGTACAGACTGTGTTCAGGAGCAGATAGGGATGAGCGAAGTAGAGTCGAAGGGAACTTAGAGTAACAGAGTCAAGCGAGAGCGTATGGCCGGTAATCAAGCGTGGGGGGGGGGGGGGCAGAGTAGGTGGTAGATAGCAGGAAGCTGGAAGAACGGAAGTTCAGTTGAGGTCGAAGCAACATCGGCGGCTGGTCTTACTCTTTCCAGGTGGCCGTGGGGCCAAGCAAGCAGTCCCGACAATCCAATCCTCTCCCCCATCGATTAATCCCACTGCGCGGTTTCGCCCTTCCAACCACGCCCTGCCCGAGCCCTACTGTGTCGATCAATAATTCTACTTTTGTCCTTTGGATCCTTGTCCAAATAGCGCCATAGTCTGCAGTACAGATCAAGGATAATTTCAGACTCTACAGTGTATCACAGGAGTTTACATTGATGAGTCGAGACAATTATCGATCCTGACGATTAATGATGACGATGATACAATACCGTATGACGATACTGACCAAAGGTTATCAGAAAAAGAAGAAAACCGTGGCTTTCCTGCACTCATCCTCTTTGGGTTCTTTTCCAGCTGTGATTGTCTCTCTTTCTGTCTGTTCCTTTTTCTCGCCTCTTAAGTTTTTCTTATATATTTCTTTTTTCTTGTCTCTTCCCGCGGTGATCTTCCCTCCCCTGGACACTCTAAGCCTTCAAGTGCACATCGTAGAACAGATGGGGTTCCCCAACCCGGTTGATCTTGAATTCACGCACATCACCTGAGTTCTTCTCCGATCGGTTCCAGAGCAGCTGACAAGGGCAATTCCGATAATGACACCATCCCCGACTATCAGGACTGAACGGCGGTTATCCAAGGGGCATGTCCCAACGGTTGGCGGGATTGGATCCCAGATCATCACTGCCACCTAATCTAGTCTATATCACCTGCACATTCCACTCGGAACACATCAAATGAGCTGTTCCCATGTCAGTGTCAGGGGCGCTCCAAGCTTAGGGACCTTATAATGTCATCCCACTTAAGACTCCCTTATCTCCTCTCATACTCTAACCATCTACCCATGGAGGCACGGACTTCGCAACTACTACAGCACGGTATGCCATGCAGCCCAATAACGCCACAGCCTACTAAGACATGTACCCAACCCCAACTAAGTAAGCAACCCACTGTGGAGGCATGCCATTTGGTACCACTGGAAAAGACCCAAGTGGGTATGTCGATTAGGCGCTGTTGGTGAGTGTGGAGGCCCCAGACCTCATTAGACTCCCATCGGATGCAATTCCCTTGCGCATCACCATGTTCCAGATAAATGCCTCTAGGACCGTGCGACACCTTCCAGACGTGACTCTAACACTGTATTTTCTGGACCCACAGTTAAAGCCTGCAGTTATCCGGGTTAGGAAGCTTAGGGTAGGGAGGTCTGGCAGCCAAATAAACGGTTTGTTCAAGTGTGGGACCAGGTTCCCCCGCAGTTGCATGAGCACCTCTTAGTACATTTGTCTTCATGTCTCTTTGAGCTAACCAAGCTCGGGCACAAGGAGGCCCCTGTTAGCACTCGGGGGTCAATCAGATTGGTGGATGCTGCTAGTACCTGAAACGGTGCCAGATGCCATACTTTGCTAGGTTCACTACTTGTGCCGGGCGTTCTTCACCGCTGCTTTCAAGATGTATTGGCTTCAGTCAAGTACCAATGCATCGTTAAGGTCTCAAACGCCCGTATTCTAACCGAAGGACGTGACTTACGAGGCTTTCAGGGGCATACTTGACGCATCCTGCCTACTGCTGAGGCCCGCCTAACGCTGTGTTTGATTGTGGCGCTTATTTTCCGCACTAGTAACTGATTATCGCATATTCCTGGCGGTTATCACGGCCTTCACTTATTCCTGTTAGATGGCTATATATAAAGTTCAATTTCCACGACACATAGCGCCTATACACAGTTGATGGATCTAGCCAGGGGTTTGGAATGATATGATCGACTCCTCCGAAAGTATGAATTTCTGGGCTGGTGTCGAAATCGCGGGTCAGGGATTACATCGTTTCAACGTTCTTTGTTCCAGGAGGCCGGTATTCTTCAGAACAAACAATTCCCTGGGGTCGATTCGCTCTTTCTGACCGCGTGGTATCTGGACGGGAGCATCTGATTTAGTGGGAACCAGTCAGTGGAGTCGTGCAGTGAATATGAGAATGTGCAGAACACTGGTATGTTCCCCATTATGCGGCAACCCAGGCCAACAGCAGAGGAATCTAGTACCTCAGAAAAGTCAACTAGTGTCATAAAATTAAGCTTATCCCCTAGAATCCCATTTAACGGGAACAGCATCCGTGACGGCCAGGCTAGAGCCGAAACCAGCAACAGCCAGATCTGACATTAACTGGGAACTAGACTGTAGTAGACCAGCCACTGTAACCATCGAAACCGGATGTCAGAGTCAAAGAAACATGTGCATTGCTATACGCCCAACTAGATTCTCTTGCCTACTAACAAATACTATACTACTACCTACTCAACACCAAATATAGTAAAACACAACCCACCAAATATCTCAGCAGTATAGTATCCAAGATCCAACCACACCCCCTCAATTCAACGCCATCTCACCTATTAGTAACCCTACAAACCATATCCGAGGCCCATCCATCATCCAATGACTAACAACTACCCTCCCCGATCTCATAATGACATAAGTTGAACCAACCCGAACCGCTCCGCTCCGCTTTCCTAATTGTGCCGGCGGAGGGGAAGGGTGCACCTGACCTCATGATGACTTTATCCCTCAACCGAAACCCTCCTTCCCCTCCACCCCGCCATCCGGCAGAGCAAAGCTACCTATATATAGCTGGAACGCTTTCACCCCCAAGGTTCTCATGTCGTCTTATTCAACCATTCAGAAGACCAAGATATTGCACCATCCCAAGACCAGACCAACCACCTCTACTTAACTTTTATACCTTACCTACCCGAACTTTAATATCTTCAATATGGGCTGCGGTTGCGGATCCGGAAACACTTGCGGTTGCAGCGGACCGAGTTCCTGCACTTGTGGACAGTCGTGCTCTTGCAAGGAGTGTGGAGTATGTTGATATTCCTAGTACCTGTTGTTGGTTTGGGTTGGGTTTTGTGAGGTGAGGATGTGATGTGCATGTGCTAATGGGGTTTTGTGTACAGAAGTAAATCGGTTTTCTCGATGGCTACGGACACACCCACTACTGTGGTTTTACCGGCTTCTCGAGTGAAGATGTGTGGGAATGGTGATGTGGGACGGTGATAATGTTGTTGTTGTGGTTGTTATTATGATATGAAATGAATTGAAATGACATGATTGTATATGAAACTGAGTTGTTCCTTAGTTGAGGGTGGGTAGAACTTGTAGTATATTTGTAGTGTGGGCTATGCTGTAGTGGTGATAAGAAGGGATAGTAAGTTGTTTCATATACCTTGCTGCGTAAGGAGCACCACAGCTGTAGGGATCTATGCTGTGTTTCAATGTAACTGATGTTGCCCGAGGTCTCTCAGTTTCAGTTCTCTGGGGTCAATAACGTCATAGTGGGGCGCTGAAGGTACGATAACGGGTCGGATGTATACATATACAACGCACACGGATATACCATGCTATTAATATCTTATCCTTGGAGAGAATACTCGCATCACCATACGAATCACATAATATCCCCCACTGAGCAAAGTCACGACAGTAATAAATGCAGCCACCAGACCCACCCGGGCCAGTGCTTCAATGCCGCGTCGCGATGTTTTCGGAATCCTTTCTTCCTCCTTGACCGTCACTGCTTTATAGAGCGGACCTGCATGAGATGGCTTGTATACAAAGTCAAAGAGCGACTCGCCTCCAAGCCCTTTCTCTCGGTCGGTTATCATGGTGTAATAGTATCGACGACGATACTGCCCCAAGTCAGTGCACACGCTAATGACCACACCACGAGAGAACAGACATACCGCGATAAACCTCTGATCGAGCTTCGGAAACAATCGGGTGCCATACGCTAATGCCATGACAAAGAAGCAGTACCCGTATATCAGAACTCGATAGTACAGCTTGGGCTGAGGAATATGAAGGCTGTCAGAGAGTTGCGTCCCATTCAGTCGTCGAACCATAGCCTCCATGAATCCCATTGAAGCATGCGCTGGGGCTTTGTTCTCCAGGCCGTGGAGTATATTACGAGCTAGGACTCTACCGATGTTTATAGGATCCACCTCCGATACAAGGAGAGATTCCATTAGCGCTCGTGCGGTTTGCTGGCTGGCAAAAGGTTCGTCTGGAACTCCTAGGTAGTAGGCTACCAGCCTCCAGAGAGCTAGGTAGTCGTCTATCTCTTGCTTGCGGAGCCAGATACCTTGCCGGGGGAGGCCAAGCCAGATGATGATGGACGAGAAACTGCTAATTGTTGCAAGGCTGTCAAGGTCATTTATAGGGATTCCGTACCTCTCCTTGTTATACCTTTCCCGAACACAAATCAAGGAGCGAAGATAAGCATGCAGCAGCCGAACGCGGATGGATGAGATATTACCAACACCGCCTGGCTTCATTGCGTCAACGGATTCAGAGACCTGAAGGATAAACTGTAGGGTCTCCAGTAGTCTCTTCCGCACGACATATATATTGTTGAAGCCTCCACATAAGGTTAAGGCCTTAACGACACTTGGTGAGCCCCTAAGTAGGAATAAGTCGAAGCCTGGTGGAAATTTCTGAGAGTGACTAACATGCCGCCCAAGAGGCTTTCGAAGTTTAGCTGGCATTTATCAGTGTTTATGCTTGGAGTTGTCACTAGATTAGATGCTAGACTTACCACGTTCAGAATGGGAAGCCCATAACGGAAGAACACCTCCTGTCCCCGTTTGATCTGCTGCCAATCAACCCAGTCCGGCACTGTGTTGACTTGTGCCCAGAGTTCACTAAGCTTTCGATCATCTTTTGCGTGATCCCTCAGCATGATGTACACATCTAGATCGGGTAACTTCCTGTCTGGATCAATTTGTCTGTCTTGATTAACTACCTGACGGCCGATATCGTTGATCTGGTCGATACATTCATCCCCAAGCCTGTCATAAGTGTGCATCTTTGAGCGCAACTGTTCCCTCGTCTGATGAAGGGGCGACCATGCGAACGTATGGTCCCAATAGGTGTAGATTTTTGATGAATCCATTATGTCGATTCGCACCTACGAGGCGTCGGAGAAGGGACAACAACTGGGGCAAGAAGGATGGATGACGGAACATGTGTGTCCTGAAATCTTTCAACTACATCTGGCGGAGTGCCATCACGTCACTTGGCTTCTACCTGTATCAGGGACGGATTTCTCGATCCTCCGATGAATTTAATCCCCGGGCGAATGGAATGGTCCATAGAGGGCAGTTTCCATGGGATCAAAACGGAAACCTGTCAATGGCTTGTCAGGCAAGCAGACGACGTAAGAGGCTTCGAATACGCGAGGGGTGGCATGCGGAATAGTCCACTGTTGGTGAAAGCGTATGGTTCTACGAAAAGTTCACTTCGCAGAGCGTAGAGAAGTCCTTGGGATGGGCAACTTGGGCGTTCGGTGTAGCGTTTTAGAGACGGGTATGAAGCTCCCATCGTCAGAAGCCTTTTTCGATGGAAAGCAGCCTCTGGTTGGCTAACAAACTCCTACAACCACTGAAGAGTTCCCAGAAGCAGTTACTAAGGGCTTCCCACCCAACTTACTATGTAGTAGAGAGGTGGACATGATGATGATGGCTGGTGGCTTAACATTTGATGTGGAGAGACCAAGAAGCAAGCGGCACCGTTTTGATAAGGCGGGCTGAGTAAACACGCAACACCGCAAGGACCACACGGCCAATCGCTCATCAGGGGCCACTAGTTAGTTGATGTCTTCGGATTGTCAATCTTCTAGATATTGTATTAATATTATGATTTATCTGAGCGAATGCTAGGATTAGGTGTGCGACGACTCAAAGCACGCCCCTCGCTGCTTGATTTGATTGCGCATCACGAAGGAGACGAACAGCCAGTCGGTTCGAGGTCGTCATCACCGCCTGGACTAGACAGCCCGCAACTGCCACCGCTCCCCGTGTCGCCCACTTCATCATCCTGCAGCGACAGCTCCTCCTCCTCCTCCTCTTCTCCTCCTTCCCCCATCCATCCCTCCCCCTCCCCCGCGCTGTCCACTCCTGTCATTCACCTCCCTGCTTCACGCATCATGGCCCCCTCCGCTGATGCTGGCGAGAGCCAACATGGTTCCGTCTTCTCCGTCTCCGGTCCCGTCGTCGTGGCCGAGCATATGATCGGCTGTGCCATGTACGAGCTGGTATGCTTCCCCATGCGTTTTCCCGCCGCCAGATACTGCGCTTCTAGGTTTACGCATCTGCAAATTTTAATCGCTAACACCGGGCATCGACTGTAGTGCCGTGTCGGTCATGACCAGCTGGTCGGAGAAGTCATTCGGATCGATGGCGATAAGGCCACCATTCAGGTCTACGAGGAGACAGGTACATCCGCCAACCCCTCCGGGCTCCCCACAACATCCCTGTCTAACTGCCACTTTCTCTAGCTGGTTTGACGGTCGGCGACCCCGTTACACGGACAGGAAAGCCCCTGTCGGTCGAGCTGGGCCCCGGTTTGATGGAAACGATTTACGATGGTATTCAGCGGCCCCTGAAGGCGATCTCCGACCAGTCCAAGGGTATCTACATCCCCCGTGGTATCGCGGTTAACGCCCTGGATCGTGAGAAGAAGTGGGACTTCAAGCCCGGCAAGTACAAGGTCGGCGATCACATCACCGGTGGTGACATCTGGGGTACCGTTTTCGAGAACAGCTTGGTGAACGACCACAAGATCATCCTCCCTCCCCGCGCGAGGGGTACCATCACCCGCATAGCCGAGGCGGGAAGCTACACTGTCGAGGAGAAGCTGCTGGAAATTGAGTTCAATGGAGTCAAGACGGAACACAGCATGATGCACACCTGGCCTGTCCGTGTGCCCAGACCGGTCAACGAGAAGCTCTCGTCAGACGCACCTTTCATTGTCGGTCAGCGAGTGCTGGACTCCCTGTTCCCTAGTGTCCAGGGTGGTACTGTCTGTATCCCTGGTGCCTTCGGATGTGGAAAGACTGTCATCTCCCAGAGTGTCTCCAAGTTCTCCAACAGTGATATCATTGTCTACGTCGGTTGTGGTGAGCGTGGTAACGAGATGGCTGAAGTGCTGATGGATTTCCCCGAAGTTAGTGCCCCATCCTACAGCATACATCCAGTGACTAACAAGCGATCGCAACAATAGCTTTCCATTGACGTCGATGGCCGCAAAGAACCCATTATGAAGCGTACCTGCCTGATCGCCAACACCTCCAACATGCCTGTCGCCGCCCGTGAGGCGTCCATCTACACCGGTATTACGATCGCCGAATACTTCCGTGACCAGGGCAAGAACGTGGCTATGATGGCGGACTCCAGTTCCCGCTGGGCTGAGGCTCTTCGTGAAATTTCCGGTCGTCTGGGAGAGATGCCGGCTGACCAGGGTTTCCCCGCCTACCTGGGTGCCAAGCTGGCTTCCTTCTACGAGCGTGCCGGAAAGAGTAACGCTTTGGGTAGCCCCGAGAGAATTGGTAGTGTCAGTATTGTCGCTGCCGTCAGCCCTCCGGGTGGTGACTTCTCGGATCCCGTCACCAGTAGTACCCTGGGTATTGTCCAGGTGTTCTGGGGTCTGGACAAGAAGTTGGCTCAGCGTAAACACTTCCCGTCGATCAACACGTCGATCTCTTACAGCAAGTACACGACGGTTCTGGACCGGTACTACGAAAAGCATCACCCCGAATTCCCTCGCCTGCGTGACCAGGTCAGAGAGCTTCTGACCAAGTCGGAGGATTTGGACCAGGTCGTGCAGCTGGTTGGTAAGGCCGCTCTGGGTGACTCTGACAAGATCACCCTGGATGTGGCTGCCATGGTCAAGGATGACTTCCTGCAGCAGAACGGTTACAGTGACTACGATCAGTTCTGCCCGCTGTGGAAGACCGAGTACATGATGAAGGCGTTCATGGGCTACCACGATGAAGCCCAGAAGGCGGTTGCCCAGGGCCAGAACTGGTCCAAGGTTCGTGACGCCACCACCGACATTCAGAGCTCTCTCCGGGGCATGAAGTTCGAGGTGCCGACCAACGAGGCGGAAGTCTCCGAGAAGGTAAGCCAGATGCCACCGCTCCTAAGTATTCTGTGTACTAACTTTGTTCCAGTACGAGAAGATCCTCCAGCAAATGTCGGAGCGGTTTGCTTCGGTGTCGGATGAGTAGAGGAGGACATATTCACCGGGCTAGACCGGGGAGGCGTGCTGTCTATTTTATATTCCCGAGCTTGTAGCATAGCAAATTCCCAGTATATGTAGTTATTGCCGTTGCCTTGAAGAATTTCCGTTTCGAGAAGCTTTCATTTATCGAACGTCAGACTCAAGTAACTACTTAGGAGAGTTGTGTTGTGCGTGAGTCAGTCAGGCAGCATCATTCAGTCATTTGCTGAAAGTAGATATTGTCTGGCCGCTTTTGGGTGGCCAAATCCACATGACGCGGCCTTGCCCATTCGCTCTCATGGTAGGGATTCCCAATGTGTGGTCCATCGGGTACCTCCATCCACAGTCGGGAGCCCGTTTGTCGCCCTTCCATTTGCCACTGTCAGGGTCCCGGTTCGGTGGGTAAACGTTTTATCGTTTTGGCAGGCAGGCAGGCAGTGTAGGCCGCCGTATCGCTGCTATCGATTGCTCTGATCTGGACCGAAGCGAAACTCTCCACTTGGCCCTTCCCGCCTTCGCTCTCCCTCTTCCCTTTCAATCCACCCCCCCAAACATCCTCCACGCATTCTGGTCTACACCCCCCTGAACGGACAATCGCTCTACGGACATTGTCTAGACTGTTGCTTTCTTTCTTCTATATTTACTGCCTTTATTAATTTGGAGCGTCCATCCTCTATTCCTCGTTGCCAGCCATGGCAAGCCCAACTACTGGCTTCTCGTGCGCAACCCCCTGGTCCCTCTCATGCTTGTACCTCCGATTCGCCTGGCTGACCTCATCGTGCCCGCAGAATAAACGTCAACGATCCCAGCTTGATCTCGCTGGTGAACAAGCTGCAGGATGTCTTTGCGACGGTTGGAGTAAGTCATCCCCTCCCGTGGAGCTCTCCTGCATCGCAGCCCCTCCGCCGAACTGACACCGCCTGTTCCATTTAGGTTCAGAACCCCATCGATCTGCCTCAGATTGCCGTCGTCGGTTCGCAGTCCAGTGGAAAGAGTTCCGTTCTAGAGAACATTGTTGGCCGGGATTTGTAAGTGGTTGACATGGTCCCTTCGTTTCTTGTCTGGTCGCAGCAGCCTAACCGGTGTTCTTGTCGTTGCCTAGCCTGCCTCGTGGTTCTGGAATTGTCACTCGGAGACCCCTCGTACTGCAACTTATCAACAGGCCCGCTGGTTCGCAAACAAACGGTGTGAAGGAGGAGGCCCTGGAGACGACGGATAAGGAGGCCAACATCGACGAGTACGGCGAGTTTCTTCACATCCCCGGCCAGAAGTTCTACGATTTCAACAAGATCCGCGAGGAAATTGTGCGCGAAACCGAGTCCAAGGTCGGTCGCAATGCCGGTATCTCGCCCGCTCCTATCAACCTGCGAATCTACTCGCCTAATGTCTTGACCCTCACACTCGTCGACTTGCCCGGTTTGACCAAGGTCCCCGTGGGTGATCAGCCCAAGGATATTGAGCGTCAGATCCGTGACATGGTTTTGAAGTACATCAGCAAGCCGAACGCTATCATCCTGGCCGTCACTTCCGCCAACCAGGATCTGGCCAACTCGGATGGTCTGAAGCTGGCGCGGGAGGTCGACCCGGAGGGTCAACGCACGATCGGTGTGTTGACCAAGGTCGATTTGATGGACGAGGGTACCGATGTTGTGGATATTCTTGCGGGCAGGATTATCCCTCTGCGTCTGGGTTATGTGCCGGTCGTCAACCGTGGTCAGCGTGATATTGAGAACAAGCGGCCCATCGCATATGCCCTGGAGCACGAGAAGAACTTCTTCGAGGGTCACAAGGCTTATCGCAACAAGTCATCGTACTGCGGAACTCCTTATCTCGCCAGGAAACTGAACTTGGTACGTTTCTTTAACATTGTAGGCTGAGAGCTCGAACTGACGTTGGTAGATCCTTATGATGCACATCAAGCAAACCCTTCCCGATATCAAAGCGCGCATTTCGTCCTCCCTTCAGAAGTATTCCTCGGAACTGTCACAGCTCGGTGACTCGATGCTCGGAAACAGTGCCAATATCGTCCTCAATATCATCACGGAGTTCAGCAACGAGTACCGCACAGTGTTGGAGGGAAGCAACCAGGAGCTGTCCAGTATCGAGCTGTCCGGCGGTGCTCGTATCAGCTTCGTGTTCCATGAGCTCTACTCCAACGGTATCAAGGCCGTCGACCCATTCGACCATGTGAAGGACATTGATATTCGCACCATCCTCTACAACTCCTCTGGTCCCTCACCGGCACTGTTTGTGGGCACCACTGCTTTCGAATTGATCGTGAAGCAGCAGATCAAGCGCCTGGAGGACCCCAGCTTGAAGTGTATCTCGTTGGTCTACGACGAACTTGTCCGCATCCTGGGTCAGCTCCTGAACAAGTCGCTGTTCCGGCGCTACCCCATGCTGAAGGAGAAATTCCACGCGGTTGTTATTGGCTTCTTCAAGAAGTCCATGGAGCCGACCAACAAGCTTGTGCGTGACCTGGTCAACATGGAGGCGTGCTACATCAACACGGGTCACCCTGATTTCCTGAACGGACACCGCGTAAGTCCCACTGGCATCCTACGATACCTACGATGTACTGACTGAATAGGCTATGACTATCGTCAACGAGCGTCAAACTGCAGGCAAGCCGACTCAAGTGGACCCCAAGACTGGCAAGCCTCTTCCCCCGCGGGCGAACAGCCCGTCGGTTGAGGTTCCTGTGGACAACACCAACTCCGGTGGATTCTTTGGCAGCTTCTGGGCTTCGAAGAACAAGAAGAAGATGGCTGCCATGGAGCCGCCACCGCCGACCCTGAAGGCGTCTGCCTCTTTGTCGGAGCGGGAGAGCGTGGAGGTTGAGGTCGTCAGTAAGTGCAGCGCTCTGCTCGATAGAGGTTGGATACTAATGATCAACAGAGCTCCTGATCACCTCGTACTTCAACATTGTGAAGCGGACCATGATTGATATGGTGCCCAAGGCTATCATGTACACTCTCGTCCAGTATGTATCCTCCGTCTTGTCCGCATAACCACCGCTAACCCCGTTCTAGGTTCACCAAGGATGAAATGCAGCGCGAGCTCCTCGAGAACATGTACCGCAACAGCGAGCTGGACGACCTGCTGAAGGAGAGCGACTACACGGTCCGCCGGCGGAAAGAGTGCCAGCAGATGGTGGAGAGCCTTTCCCGGGCCAGCGAGATCGTCAGCCAGGTTCAATAAAGGACGGCGTTGTTGGATGGTTAGTTTTGATCTATACACCCGGTTGCGTTCCCGTTCAGTGATATCATGTTGGGGCCTATGTTATGGGGGTTCTGTCTCGGAGGAGTTTATGCCTTATGTTTATACTTTCTTCTGATGCCAGGGTTCCACGGCCGCATGTGGTAAGACTGGACGACAGGTTTGACCAAGATTTTCACGAATTTGTATCGCCTAATGATTGTGGATGATTGTGGTTTTTTCCCCTTTTAGAATTCAGACGGTTGCAGCTTAGCAGTCAGTGCCATGATGTATAGTAGTGCTGTGCGGCGATGCTTTAGTACAATAAATATAGAGTAGTCATGAAACAAGCCGAATAGGAATTGGTTCACCGGATACTTTGACTGTTTCACTATACTCATTGACTCGGTATGATTGATGTGACAGCAAAACACTATACCAGATCAGTTATTAGCGTGTAAACACAGTGGATCTTATTCACAGCTAAATGTAGTCATTATGGACCAATAAGCATTGTTGACTTTTCACCCATCCTAAACATATTTCGAGCTTCTGTAATATCTAGCAGTAGATTCAACCTGCTGTTACAGTCTAAATGTATCGGCAATCTTCGCCTAGGAAAGACGCAATATCGCGACTTGCCACTGGCATTTGCGTGAACAGGGAAATTGCCATCAAGGGAATGGGATTTACCAAGTACTAAGCCGTAGAAAAGCTACTATAAGTTTCCTAGATAATGTCCTGTAGGTGAAGCATCACTGATAGGTACCACTACGCTGTGAAGATACGATGCACTATGATAGCCTTGAGAGTGACAAATGAGACCAGGATGAAGTAAATGAGGTACGGGAAGGAGAGTTATATTCCCTGGGAATCCACCAGGTGGGATGGGTATAAAATCTTCCAACTTCGCTCTCCTGGGTGCTGACGACGAACTTTCTACTTCATATTTGACATCTCCCCTAAAATATGTCCTCTCTCTCATTATTGTCTCCCCTCTCCCCATTGGGGTTCAAGAAATAATAACTACCAATTTCTCCCGCTCAATCCTCTTTATATATATACCACCACCCTCTGAAGGAGAAACCCTCAAATGAAGATGATGTTCCGCAATAACACCTCTAAGTTCTCAGAAGTACTTAGCAAGCGGGTTACTGAAAATAGCGCACACGTAAGAACAGTGTGAACCAGAAGCTCAATGTTTCCACCCAGTACTACGACCAACACAATTGTATCGATGTACTACTGGCCTAACATAGCATAGCACCAAGGCAAGCTACTCATCTCCCTGACAGCTCACTGCCTCTAACAACCGCTACTAGGATGTCTTAAACCAGCTCGAATACCTATATATATCCATCATATGTAATGTCGCTCGACATGAAATCACAAGCACAGTAATATATATCTGCAGGTCGCCAATGAGGATTCCATCTGCCGGAAAACAATCCCACTTTCGGGATATTTTGTGCTTGGCTGCAGCCACCACAGTATGACTGGCTACATTTGGACTCTCTAGATGACGCTTTGGGGAATCTCAATGTCTACTTTGTGCTGGTGGATCAATGGAATAAACTGTCTATGAGGTGGATTGACTTCACTCTATGCTATTCCATTTTCATTTCATTAAGGGTACCATTAGACGAGACTAACTACTACGTATAGGAAAGATAGTACCGTGAGACATTGATCGAACGGGGATTCGGCTACTTGGATGATGGGAGAGAGATGATACAACGGATCAGTATCAGGAAGAAAGGTACATCTGGGTTCTATTTGCTACCGCCAATGGTGGTCTGTCTACCTGGTACTTTTGAGTAGCTCTCGCTGGATGTGTTTCGGTCATTTGCGTGCTATGAAGCGGATAACAAGGGTGGGTGGATGGGTGGATGGGTGGATGATAGTTTGAAGGATGTTGCGAGTTCATGAGGATCGGTGCT